TGACCTCTGACCTTGACAACAACTGGAGCTCTCCCTGATGTTTCAGGTGAAGCAGCGGTTCGAGGATGAGTGTGAGGCTGACTCAGAGTATGTTGAGCTTCTGATGGTGAAACAGGAAGAACGAGATTTAGCCCCCACGGAGGATAAAGCTCCCCTGTGGGGGGAATTCACCTCAAACTCAAAGTATGGAAGTCAAGCCCGGTGCTAACATATGGTAATGTGTTACTGTACGTACAGCATCGGCACATGCGTCACTAAAAGCAGCTGTAACATTAAAGCGACTGAACATAAATAATGGAGCATAAACCCACAGAGATAAATGTAACATGAAACCAGTTCTTTGGTGTCAGTCTGATCGTCACTGTCAGAGGAAGTTATCATCTTTGAACTCAAACCACATTTTCCTTCCTTAAGTTTGGAAAAGTTCAGAACAAAAGTGAGCAGAGACTCACATGACAGTTAAAGCAGGTTAAAGCCTGACGATCATCATGACTCTGATGTGGGAGGTTACTGTGAAGCTCACACTGGCTGCAACAATTATTTTCCAGTGAGTGCACATTTTTAACCCCTCAGCACCAAGCGAGTCACAGCTCACACATCACACTCCCCCAGAACCACCTGACCAAATGATCCGATCACTACATCACTCCTCGTTTTTACTTCCATGCACTCACCGACCGTGGACAGAAGGGTGTGAAGCATTAAATCTGTGGCTTGTTGTGCTGCATCGCTGCTTCAGTTCTGCCCCCCATCAATAACTGACAGACTTTAAATGGCTCTCTGTGTTTATCATCGTCACCTCTGCTCTTATGCTCGCTGCTCTTTTTAAAACGAAAGCCAACTCATTACATGTTTCTGTGGGGACCCCTGTGGCCCCAGTGAAAAGAAATCCTGGAAACGCCCCTGATCGCTACTTTCGGGTGGGGGCAATGAGCTCAGGGAGGTGTTGGTTAATTCCAGGAGGAGGTAACAGATACTGTCCACTGTGGACTTTACTTTCCCGCCCGTTACTCTGCGCTGCTTTCAAGCTCTCACCTGTTGATCCTTCCAGCCTGCTCAGGGAGGACGACTTCCTCTCAGCCAGCCGCATCCGGACCTGCTCCCGGACCCTCCGAGCTTTCGCCACCGGGTCCGGAGACGGGCCGTCCGAGGGGACCACGTAAGCGGTGCAGGAGGAGTTGGGCTGCAGGGCGGACAGAAAGCAGCCCTCCGGGATCCCCACATTCATCCTGACGCTTCACCGAGCGAACAAAGAAAAAAGGCTCCAGGCGAACTCCGGCGAACAGCGGACCGTCCGGTGCGCAGCGCAGCTCCGAGTGTCTGCAAAGAAACGGCGCTCCGTCAGCCCAGCGTCTGTGGGCGGGGCCCGAGAGTGAGGGGCGGGGGGTCTAAAATCCACCTGCTGTCAAGACAACCAGTACACAGGAGGTCTGACCTCACACGCTTACGTCACCGCAGCCCCCGTGACCTCTCCGTTCCGCAAATATTAATAAACATGAACCCAAATAAAAACAGATTAGTGTTGAGCAGTGTAGAGACCACATACCTGCTTCACGTCAAACTCCGGTGAAGCCATCCACCTACCAGTCAAAGAGGCCACGCCCCTCACAATAATGCTTTTACAGCTTGGACATTTCACTGACGCAGCACATTTGTCTGTGCTGTTTCTAACATTCACACACATTGTGAATGCGTCCCACAGCAGCTTGGGGTTAATACTTGCTCAAGGACACTTGGCATGCAGACTGGGATCGAACCACCTGCTCTACCACCTGAGCTCATAACCCCCCTACAGCTGTTATGAAGGACTAAATTACCTATAGAGACCAAACGTGTCCCAAA